GGCACGGGGAGGGGGGGGGAGGGAGGTCACCCCAGCTTGGGACGCTGTGCAACGCAGGGGCTCGCGCTTTCCTTTGCAAGCTGGATTTTTGGGGTGACAAAGCCTCCGGGGCGTTCAATTTGCCCGGTGCTGTAGGTAGCGTGGTGCAGCGGGGTGATGTGGGGTGCACTGTGGCAACGTGGGGTGCATCAGTGCGATGTGGGGTGCACTGCAGCAATGATGGGTGTACTGCAGTGATGCAGAGCGCACCGTAGCAATGTGGGGTGCATCTGGGGGGTGCAGGGTGCTCCAGGATGATGCAGGGTGCACTATGGCAATGTGGGGTGCATCAGGGCGTTGTGGGGTGCATCAGGGCAATGTGGGGTGCACTGCAGCAATGACGGGTGTACCATGGTGATGCAGGGTGCACTGTGGCAATGTGGGGTGCATCAGGGCGATGTGGGGTGCACCGCAGCAATGACAGGTGTACCATGGTGATGCAGGGTGCACCGTAGCAATGATGGGTGCTCAGGGGGATGCAGGGTGCTCCAGGAGGGTGTGGGGTGATGCAGGTTGCTCTGTAGTGATACAGGGTGATGCGGGGTGAAGTATGGCATGCTGTAGGTAGCGTGGTGCAGCGGGGTGATGTGGGGTGCACTGTGGCAACGTGGGGTGCATCAGTGCGATGTGGGGTGCACTGCAGCAATGATGGGTGTACTGCAGTGATGCAGAGCGCACCGTAGCAATGTGGGGTGCATCTGGGGGGTGCAGGGTGCTCCAGGATGATGCAGGGTGCACTATGGCAATGTGGGGTGCACCACAGCAATGACGGGTGTAGCACGGTGATGCAGGGTGCACTGTGGCAATTGTGGGGTGCATCGGGGGATGCAGGGTGCTCAAGGATGATGTGGGGTGATGCAGGGTGCTCTGCGGCGATACAGGGTGCTTCAGGGTGATGCAGGGTGCGCTACGGCAATGTGGGGTGCATCACTGCAATGTGGGGTGCACCAGAGCAATGATGGGTGCATCAGAGTGATGCAGGGTGCACCAGGGTGATGTGGGGTGCACTGCAGCAATGATGGGTGGTGTAGGGTGCACTGTGGGAGATGCAGAGCACACCAGGGCAAAGTGGGGTGCATGGGGGTGATGCAGGGTGCACTGTGGCGATGTGAGGTGCACCAGGGCAATGCAGGGTGCTCTGATGATGGGTGCACCATGGTGATGCAGGGTGCACCATAGCAATGTGGGGTGCACCACAGCAATGACGGGTGTACCACGGTGATGCAGGGTGCACTGTGGCAATTGTGGGGTGCATCAGGGGGATGCAGGGTGCTCAAGGATGATGTGGGGTGATGCAGGGTGCTCTGCGGCGATACAGGGTGCTTTAGGGTGATGGAGGGTGCACTACGGCAATGTGGGGTGCACCACAGCAATGATGGGTGCACCAGGGCAATGCAGGGTGCACCATAGCAATGTGGGGGGATTCAGCGTGCACCAGGGGGATGTGGGGTGCATCACTGCAATGTGGGGTGCACCTCAGCAACGACAGGTGATGCAGGGTGCATTGTGGGGGATGCAGAGTGCACCAGGGCAAAGTGGGGTGCATGGGGGTGATGCAGGGTGCTTCAGGATGATGTGGCGTGATGCAGGTTGCACTGTGGCGATGTGGGGTGCACCAGGGCAATGCAGGGTGCTCTGCAGCGATACAGGGTGCTTCAGGGTGATGCAATGTGCACTGTGGCAATGTGGGGTGCATCACTGCAATGTGGGGTGCACTGCAGCAAAGATGGATGTGCCATGGTGATGCAGGGTGCACCACAGAGATGATGGGTGCTCTGGGTGATGGAGGGTGCACCAGGGCAATGCAGGATGCTCTGCAGCGATACAGGGTGCTTTAGGGTGATGAGGGGTGCACTATGGCAATGTGGGGTGCACCTCAGCAATGATGGGTGTACCACGGTGATGCAGGGTGCACCATAGCAATGTGGGGTGCATCAGGGGGATGCAGGGTGCACCAGGGTGATGTGGGGTGCATCAGCACAATGTGGGGTGCATCTCAGCAATGACGGGTGATGCAGGGTGCACTGTGGGGGATGCAGAGCGCACCAGGACAAAGTGGGATGCATGGGGGTGATGCAGGGTGCACTGTGGCGATGCAGGGTGCACCAGGGTGATGCGAGATGCTTCAGTGGGTGCATGGGGGGGTGGGGTGCAGGGTGCGTCCCAGGAGAACCCCCACCTTGCCGGGCTCTGGGGTGAGCATAGGAACAGCTTCACGACCCGTGTGGCCCCCCCAAACCCCGTCCCTCCTCGGTGCTGTGTTGCAGAAGGCAGCGGGCTACCACCTGGACCTCTTCTGGGTGGGCATCCTCATGGCCACCTGCTCCTTCATGGGGCTGCCCTGGTACGTGGCGGCCACCGTCATCTCCATCGCCCACATCGACAGCTTGAAGATGGAGACGGAGACCAGCGCCCCGGGGGAGCAGCCCCAATTCCTGGGCGTCAGGTGAGGAAGGCTCAGCCGCACTCTTCCTCGGGGGG